GGACAGGGTGGCTTATAAATGAGGAATTTCTTTCTCACAGTTCTGGAGGCTAGAAGTCTGAGGCCAGGCTGCCAGCGTGGTTGGGTGAGGGCCCTCTTCCTGGCTCATAGCTCGTCCTTCCTCGCTCTGTCTTCACGCGGTGGAAGGGGTGCCACCCTCATGACCGAGTCACCTCCCAAAGGCCTCACCTTCTAATACCATCACATTGGGCATTGAGGATTTCAAACTATGGATTTTGGGGGAACACAGGCATTCAGGGGGCCACAAACATTCAGACCACAGCAACCATTATTTCAAAGTGGCCAAAAGTTTTTCTGGGAAAGTTAAAGCTTAAGCCTAGAAGGTGAAGGAGAGGTAGGAGTCGTCCAGGTGAAAAGGAAGGGAAGAAGTTTTAGGAATAGGTACAAAGCATGCTCAGGCATGGAGGTAGGGAGCGGGTCCTTTTTCCTATAAGCTTAGCGTCAGTGGCATTGGGCCATGGGGCCACCCACCTGTGTTTTATTGTGGGTATGTGTCTGGCTCCATCCTGCACGAGTCCCTGAAGTCTAGGAAATCTCTTTCCAGCATAAGTCAGTCAGACTTTTCAGCCTGGGCATTTTTGTGTGGGGTCTTGGTCAGGGCTGTGGAGCGGATATTACCTTGATGTTTCTGGTGAGACTTGCCTTCTACACCTTTTACAATTTACCTGGAGGCAGATGATATTGCTTTCAGTGATTTGGAGTCCCCTCTCCCCGGCTCCCCATTAAGAAACAGTCAAAATTTATCCTGGGGCTGTGCCTGGTCCCTCTAAAGACATACCTTAGGTGCCTACTCCTCTTAGGTGTTTCTCTACCTGAGCTCCACCAGATCCACTGCCAAGGTGAGGGTCAAGAACTGCGTGGAGGTTCTCAGCTAACCTGCGAGAACAAAGCCCTGAGACAGCTGCTGGGTGATTAATCTGTACCAGTTGAATACAGGCATTCCTGACCTCTGCCCAAGTACATTTGTAGGTGGTGCGGACAGGAAGGGAGCCAGAGACTTTGGGCTTTTGGCTTTATTCTCCAGTCTGGTTTATTTCTATCAGGCCTGTTACCTTATGGCTGTTCTGTCCCCAGCTTGGGCTCCTTCAGCAGCAGCAACTGCCATCATCAATGCTGGTTTCTCCCCAAATTTATCATTCATTCATTCATTCAGTCATTCATTCATTCAAAGATAGGGAAAAGTTTGAACAGTATCCTGCCTTCATGGAGATCATGGTTCAGTAGGGTAGCCAGTCTTTAATCCAATAATTTCTCGAATAAATGTGGAATTATAACTGCAGTAAGTGCTATGAAGGAGAGGAATTTGGGCCCATGAAATACTGTGAAGGTGGGACTTGACCTTGTCTGGAAGCCAGGAAGGACTTTCCCTAGGAAGTGACGATTGAGGGAGGCATCAAGTGTGAACAGAGTAGGGGTGGGGGCAGGGAGGGGATGAAGAGTGTCAAGCGCTCAGCATGTTGGGAAAACTGCAAGAGGGCCAGTGGTTGGGTGCCGTGAGCAAGAGACTATGGAGACAGGGAAACATGGAGACTCTTACAGGGTCTGTGTGAAAACCTTTGTGTGAAGACATGGGCTGTGTTAAGAACCTTGCTCTTTATCATTAGAACAATGTAACTGTTGATGGCTTTTTTTAAAAAAAATTTTTATTGTTATGTTACTCACCATACATTACATCATTAGTTTTTGATGTAGTGTTCCATGATTCATTGTTTGTGCATAACACCCAGTGCTCCATGCATAACGTGCCTTCTTTAATACCCATCACCAAGCTAACCCATCCTCCCGCCCTCCTCCCCTCTAGAACCCTCAGTTTGTTTTTCAGAGTACATCGTCTCTCATGGTTTGTCTCCCCCAGTTGAAGGCTTTTTTACAGGGAGGCGATATGATCAGATTCTTGCTTCAGAAACATCACTCTGGCTCCAGTGTGGAGAGTGAATTAGAGGTGGACAAGAGTAAGGTTGCCAGGTAAAATACAGGATGTCTAGTTAAACGGAAATTTCAGATAAACGATGAATACTTTTTTAGTCTAAGTGTGTCCCAAATACTGCATGGGACCGTACTTACGCTAAAAAATGGTTCACTGTTTATCTGAAATTCAAGTTTAACTGGACATCTTGAATTTTTATTTGGTAAACTTGGTAACTCTAAGCAGAAGATATGGGAAACCAGTTACTGTAGTAGTTGAAGGCTTTCCAGACTAGGAAAGCAGAGGTGGACGTGGAGAGAAGTAGACAAAGAAGAAGTACCCTGGTGGGTCCAAGTCTGTCATTCCAAGGCATCTGGAAGACAGAGTCTATCAGCTTCCCTCCTGTCCTGAAACTTCAATTTCCACGCACATGCCATTGACAGACACATGGTGATGGGTATAATGAGCCCACTGTAGCCTCAGTGCAGGGCATGTGCCTGGTCAGCACCTGCCCTCTGAGATGACCTGTGAGATGTGTTCTGGGAACCCGTGAGGGGGTCGTCTTTCTGCCCCCCGTCCCCAAGGCCCGAGGATTCCTGAGGGGTGAACACTTTGCATTACAGTGACCAATGTGTGTGAAGGAGAGGTTTGGCAGGATGGTCAAGAACTTAATGACAATACAGGCATTATTGTAAGTTGCACACTGTTTGTCCCCCACGATAACTCATGCGTTAGCAAATGAAGCGGTAGGGTAGAGCTGTCAAGAACACAGGCTTTGCCAGGGGGCTCAGATGCCCTGGCAGTGCAGTTCCTAGCTGGTTTACACTGTGTGCTGCAGAAACCGGGCCATTTACACCCTTCTTCAGTGCAGCTTGAACTTTTCTACCTTTTTGTTTGCCTAGAGTGTCTTTTCCTGCATCTCCTCCAGCCTTATTCATTCAAACTATTTATAAGGTAACGTTAATAAAGAGGTATGATCAAACAAGATAAAGCATGTATAGAAAATAAAATAAATGCCTGTCTCTAGGGAAATGACTCAACCCATTAACATTCACGTCTGCTGTGTAATATTACACATTCATTAAGGTGGTTGTATGTGAACTGACCTGGAAAGGTCATATATGATATATAGCATATGCTATATTGCTATATTGCTAAGTGAAACAGGCAAATGGTAGAACAATACAGGAAATATGATCATAGTTGTGTTTAGAAAAGAATGTGTGTGGAAAGTGGGATGAAACATGCTTCAATTTGTTAGTAGAGATTTCCTCTGGAAATGAGGGTGGGATTGGGTTGGAAGTAGAAGGAACTGGTCATACTTAGTTAACATACTTTTGTGGTTTTGGTTTGTTTGTTTACTAGAATGGTGTTAATTTTGGAGTTGAAATAAAATCAAAATGCATCAAAAATTTTGCTAGAATAAATAAACCGTGGTTATGTTTCAGTTGTTAGATTGGGGATGTTCTTCCCCTCCCCCAACTTACTATATTATTAAAGAACAAAATGATAACAAAAGAAAGTTACCTTTCTGTGAAAGCGCAACAGAAATGCTACTCCCTGGATGAAACATTTATCTGATTCATCAACTGGATGCCCTGTCTCCTTTTTTTTTGAACCCCTAAATACTTTGTGTGACTTTTGTGGCATTTATCTCTGTCTATCTTGTATTTCATACCTGTTTTACTGCCTCTCTAGATTTAAGCCCCTGGAGGGATATCGTGATAGAGAAGAAAATCGGCTTTCAAGCTAGAAGAACTGGCTGTTGGCTCTTGTTCTGGTCTCCTTTTGCAGCATGACAAATTAGCCCACACTTAGTAGCTGAGAACACAAGTCACTTTTTTCTTTCTCATGAATTTTTGGTCAGAAATTTGAACAGAGCTGGGCTGGGGGATTCTTCTGTTCCATGGGGTATCGAGTTGGGTCACTTGGTGGAATTTAGCTGGGGGTTGAGCTGGACAGGAGGGTCCAAGAAGACTTCCCTCATAGGCCTGATGCATGGACGGGCAGCTGAAAGGCCTGGCTCAGCCTAAGTCCTTTGTCTTTCTGACTCCTCTGACTTCCCCATTGTCTTCCTCCTAGAGGCACTGGGCTTCCAGAGACCAAGGCAGACCAAAGCAGAACTGCCCACCTTCTAAAGGATGTAGCTGGCATAGTGTCCCTTCTCTGTACTGGTTAAGCAGCTACAGAGCCCACTCAGATTTAAGGGGGTGGGAACAGAACAGCACCTCTTAAGAGGAAAATCTGTATATAAAATTTGTGGCCATCTTTAATCCATCACGGCTTTGCTATGAGAAGTACAGCCTCCATATCTCAATGACTACATCTATAAACGAGGAAGACCGAGAGCTACAGTGTCTACAAAAGCACCCTGTGCATTATGAAAAGCTGTATGTACTGTAAATGTCAATAATTATCTTGGTACTAACTCTATGCCTTACTCAAGGCAGGTCCTCCTTAGTTTTAATACTTTGAAGGCAGACTCATTTACCAGATATTTCCTAGGAGGAACACACAAAGAAAGGGATGTGGGTGATCATATAGGGGCATGGCATAGCTGTGGAGTGCAGACTTTGATTTGGTTGACATGAGTTAGATCCACACTGTCACTCAGTTACTATCTGTGTGACCTTTCTTGATGGCATCACACCTTTCTGAGCCTTAATTTACTCATCGTAGCATGAGAGTAGTAGTGCTTACTTAGCTGGTTTGCTGTGTGCATTGGAGCTAATTTGTGTAGAGCACTTAGTGTGGCGACTCACATAGTAGGTCTTCTGTCTCTCTTCAGATGAGGTAATGAAGTCATGTAGTGAATTTGGCCTCCTCACTTGTTTCCCTGCACCGGTTACCTCCATTCAGAGGACTGAGAGGGGGTCCAGAGCCCACGCCCTTGTGAAAGCAGTGGCAGGGGGAGGGCGGGAAGGGCTCTGCTTGCTTCTGCCAGTCTCCTCCTCTTTCCAGAGTGTCCCCCACTGGGGGTTCGGTGCCCTGTGCTGCTGTGGTTGTGAGTGAGTCACTCTTCTCTCCATTGGATGTGGCCTCCTTTTTTAGGCCTGTGGCTTTGCCTTCCCTAGATGTACGAGATCAAATCAGAAGGCAGCATTGCAAAGAAGTTCAACCAACTTCTGCAGACACTGAGCTCGCCCCTGAAACCCAGAGTTCCAGAGCACAGTAACAACAAGATGAAAAACCTCTCCTACCCGTTCTCCAGGGAGAAAATGTACCTGTGAGTATGGGCGCTGTGGGGGTAGGGATGTGGGCGGGGACGGGAGGGGAAGTCAAACAGCTCCCACAGTGAGAGCCCCAGGGCCTGGGAGATAGGGGAGGGGGCATGCTGTCACAGCCAAGAGTTCCTTGGATCTGCTTCCTGAATCCCCTTCCCTAAGTGACACTATCCCAAAGACCTCCCCCAGATTTGCCCAGTGGCTTGTAGGGACACCTGCCATTTCAGTCCTTTGGCACGATGGATGGCGAATCATGGAGCACGCAGCCATAAACCTTGGGACTCTATGAGAAGATGGTCGGATACCGGTTTCCCTGCCCAGTTCCTAGTCTAATAGGGCTTCAACATATTGTAATCATCCAGAGAGAAGGAGGATAAAGCTTTGGGAGTTTTGTGTTCCCAGCTGCCTCCTCGTGTACTCTCCTCAGATGCCAATGGCAGGTCCAGGTTGTTCCGTGTACCTCTGACTGGCTGGGTGTAGTCCAGAGGTTTCCATGACCTCCTCTTTGGGTTTGATTAATTTGCTAGAGAGGCTCTCAGAACTCAGAAAACCAGTTTACTCACTAGATTTCTGATTTATTACAAAGGATACAAAGCAACAGCCTGGTGAAGAGATGCAGAAAGGGAGGTTCTGAATGAAGGTGCTTGTGTCCTTGTGGAATGTGGGGCCCAGCATGGTGGCACATGGGAATGTTCTGGTTCCCCAACCTGGAAACTCTCCAAATCCTTTCTTTTGGGTTTTTATAGAGGCTTCGTTACATAGGCTTGGTTGATTAAATCATGGGCCATTGGAGATTGATTCAACCTCCAGCCCCTGTCCTCTCCCCAGAAATCAGGGGTGGGGCTGAAAGTTCCAACCTTCTATTCTTGGTTGGTTCTCCTGGCAACCAGCTGCTCCTCTCTCCATCTTTAGGAGATTTCCAAAAGTCACCTCCCTGACGTAAGCCCAGTTGTGGTGGAAAGGGGCTTGTGATGCATAACAAGACACCCATCTCACCTTTGTGGCTCTGAAGCGATTTCAGGAACTGAGGGCAGGAGACCAAATATTATGACAAAAGATGCTCCCATTGCTCTTGTTGCTCAGGAAATTCCAAGGGTTTGGGGAGCTGTGAGTTAGGAGCCTGGGATGAAGACCAAAAGATGTATTTATTGTAAGTCACAATATCACCTCCCCTCACGAGGTGGCCATTCAGATAGAACTGTCTGTCTCTTAGAGGAAGCTAAGGCCTGGGGGCTGTTCGAGCTTTCAGAATTACTGGGTTAAGAAAAATGATGATAGCATGAAGTGGCTGAACTGGGACTGGCACGTTGACCCCCTGGCCTGCTGTTCTTTTTGTGCTCTGTGCTTCTTCCATGCTTCCCCTTCCCTGGGCCTGCCTTCATGCCAGTGCTGGTATCTGAGCTGCCCCGTGCATGCGTCTCCCATTCATTTGGTGTCTGGCACCCTTCAAATCCAGTTCCTAAACACCTCCATCTGGAAGAATCTTCTGTTCTTCCTACCCCAAAGATGCTCTCCATCCTCTGAGTTTTCCTAGCAGTGGTCTAGGGACTACCATGCTCTGTTCTTCATCTGTTGCTAGGAGACACCCCCCCTCCATGTGATTGGGCTCCAGGGAGGGGAAGGGGGCCTGGGGGCATGTTCCAGGCATCCGAGGGCTCAGGGCCAGGAGCACAGTCAGCTCTAGGCAAGTGTTCTTTTTAGTGAAAGGTCACAGTTTGAAGTTTAGAACAGACACAGGCCTTGCATAATTAAGAGTTTGGTAGCTAATTGATGGGACAATAGTGACAACATTAAATGAAAGTTTGAAAAACAGAGAGTTGGGTGCCTGGGTGGCTCAGTCGTTAAGCGTCTGCCTTCAGCTTGGGTCATGATCCCAGGGTCCTGGGATCGAGCCCCGCATCGGGCTCCCTGCTCAGCGGGAAGCCTGCTTCTCCCTCTCCCACTCTCCCTGCTTGTGTTTCCTCTCTCGCTGTCTCTCTCTGTCAAATAAATAAAATCTTAAAAAAAAAAAAAAAAAAGAAAAACAGAGAGTTACCATCCCAGCACCTGGAAACTTTACTCTTTTGGGTAGTGGTTGTATATATATATATATATATTTAAGATTTTTATTTATTTGACAGAGAGAGACACAGCGAGAGAGGGAACACAAGCAGGGGGAGTGGGAGAGGGAGAAGCAGGCTTCCCGCTGAGCAGGGAGCCCGATGCAGGGCTCGATCCCAGGACTCTGGGATCATGACCTGAGCCGAAGGCAGACGCTTAATGACTGAGCCACCCAGGCGCCCCTGGGTGGTGGTTATATTTTTTACTGTCTTTGTTCATGCATAGGAATCCTTTCTACATACTTTTATGTGTAAAACTTCTCATAGTATAATATTTTGCATCACAGTCTAGAATTTCCTATTTATGAATTTCTCCTAATGATAATTTTCAGTGACTACATGATCATCCTTTCTATCGATCTTGGAATTACAGTTTATGTCCATAATCCTTATTATAAGTGACTTTGTAATGAACATTTTTATGTATGGAGCTTCTTTCTTCTATTGAACTTATATTTCCTACGATACATTTCTGTGATAAGCTTTCAGAATTACTGGGTTAAGAAAAATGATGAACACTGTGTGCATGAGCATGTGCGAGTATGTGCGTCTTACACATCTTGCTGTGTTGCCTTCTGAAGATTTGCTCTGGTCCTGGGGTGACAGTGGTCTCAGGACCAAGGTCATGAAATGAGTCGACCTTCTGTTTTCTTGGTGTCTCCAGGTACAACATCCAGGACAAGGATACCTTCTTTGATAATGCTACCCGTAGCCGCATTGTAAGTATGCAGGTCAACAGGGGGTGGCAGGCTGTGGAAGTGAGGGGAAGGCTGAGTACCCAGTGTGGCAGGCATTCTCCTGCTTTCCCTGCTACCTCCTGGTGCCATTTGCTTGGGGTTGCCTAGCAACTGGGAGGCATGTACAGGAGCTCCTCCATCTTCCTTGCAAAAGGCATAGCAAATAACTGCCCTCACTCACAGGTTGAGAGAAGTGCCTTCTCTTTAGGATTCTCCACCTAGGCCCATCTTGGAATCGCAAAAACAGGAAATGTGACAGCTGGTGGGGGATTTCAGCTAATCAGGCAATCCCCCCACCCTTGCTTTACAGTTGGGGAAACTGAGACTCTGAGAAGCAATGGATTAAAAAACATTTATACAGATCATTAGTGTCTGAATGAGGACCCATTGCTGGGCTACCCATTTCCCCTCAGAGGAGTCTTGTGCATCTGTATCCCAGGGAATGCTGGAACTAGCCAGTTTGTCCAAGAATAAAATTACCAGCCCATTCAGTAGAAAGCCAAAATTCATGACTAGCTGTTCTACTATTTTTTTTTTTTTGGCCTTTTGAAATCAAGGTTTTGAATTTTGCAGGATGATTGATTCTAATGAAAAATCTGTATATGGCCTGTGCCCTGTGGCCTCTCTCCCTTCACTGATCCCTTTATTCTCTCTCTGCCTAGAGAGCACTTAGCCTGAGGACAGAGGAGAAAAAGGGCGGCCCAGAGAATGCTGCACACTTACTCATGCCACAGTGGGAACATGGCAGTGTGTTTCCATTGATTCCTAGGGAAGAACTTAAGTTTCCACAGAGGAGGGGTGATGGTTAAGTATCTAGAAGGACTTCCAAGTCGGTACGGTGATAAGAAGAATAAGGGACAGGTGATTAGAGGAAGCTACAGAACATTTGCAGGGTGCATTGAAAACATGGCCTTCACTCTTTGCTTGCAGGTTGGGCAAGGAAACACCTCAGGTCCCTTAGGCTTGTGTTTAGGAAGGTTTAAAATGGGCACATCATTTCTTTTATGACCCTATGGAAAAAGGCATCAACTTCCCATTTTATTTGGTTGATGCTATTACAAGCCGTTTAAATCTCCCTGTAGCTTGGGTCTCATGTCTATGGGAGAGTTACAGGGTGTTGTGGGGATTACCAAATAATTGGAAAGTACTTGTAAAATAGTACAATACCATATAAACGCTGTTCTTAATTATTATTGCTGTTGAATTACTGCACAGTATTATAAGTGAATTAAATGTTCTTGGGCCCCATACTGCTGGAAGTTATTTATTTCCCACTCCCTCTAGGTCTGTGGCTGGAAGATCAGAGTGTGAATGATGATGGAGGAACACACTTCTCTCATTTAGCTCTTGTTCTGGAAGCTTCTCCCTTTCTCCAGTCCACCCCACCTAGTGAGAAGGGGGAGAAAAGAGCCTTAGAATTTTGTCTTGGTGTCTACTCTGCCCTGGACTTCTGTTTGAGGACCATGTTCACATCTGTAAACATCATCCCCATGCCCCTTCCTTGTGGGTGTCTAAGCACCCCAGCTATTTGTCCCAGAGCAGACTGCCTTGCTGGGCATCTCTTTATAGCCTGGCGCAGGCTTGGGACCCATTGGAGGGCACTAGTGGGCCAGCAGATTTACCTGTGTCCCTGTTTCCTCTGCAGGGAGGACTCAGCAGCCCTCCCTCGCAGGTGAGAGAGAGTCCCTTGCAAGCCCCACGTCCAGGGCTTTGTCGGCTGGTTTAGGCATGCAGCGGCCATTGAGCTGGCAGCCTGCCCTGTGCCCCGTAAGTGCTCCAAGCTGCGGAGTCTTGAGGAAGTGTCTGACTGGGGAGACAAGATGAGGACTCAGGGAAAAACTAGAGAAATAATACTAACAATGAGTAAGATGTAGGTGGCCCTTTTTTAGTTTACAAAGCACATTCATGGTTTCTTGAAATAGCTCTGTGAGTCAGCTCCATTACAGAGAAGGCCACGGACCATCAGGGTCCACGGAGAGCTTGCTCAGGACCCCTTGGCTAGGAGCCAGCACTGGAAGCCCATTAGGTGGCCTCCTTGTCCTGTGCTTTCCCCAGCGTGACACGTCTCAGGGCTGGTGGAAAGGACAGTCTCCTCTTCCCCTTCCCGGACAGTCTGGCCCAGGCACTTCCTCCCTAGCCCTCCAGAGGCATGTGGGTCTGGGCTCCCTGCTGTGTTTTCCTTACCTCTTGTAACTGCAGTCAATGTATAGCCTTTCTTTACTTTTTCAGGGTGGGGCGAAGGGGGGAGTGTGTGTGAGGGGCTTAGATGCTTTGTTTCCTCAAAGCACTCAAGTTTGAATGGGTTTGACAGGCCGGGCACGAGCTTGGCACATGCTTGGCTTCCCCCTCCCTGGAAGCGGGTCCAGCTGCCTGGTCCACCACCCGCCCCCTCGTGTGGTGACACACGTGGTCACAGTGCTCACAACCCTGCTGTTGTCCGTTTTAGGTGCACGAGATCCTGAAGCGCACAGCTTGTTCTCGAGCCAACAACACCATGGGTAAGGACCCCCTCCCCTGCCCCTGGGCCTGGTGGTGCTGATGGGCTGCCCAGGGGGCCAGAGCTGTCCTTTCAGCGGCTCCCTGTGGGGGGCAGTGTCGGGCAGCAGAGAACAAAACAAACAAATGCCCCCCACAGAGGAGGGGAGGCTGCTTTCACTCAGGGCCAGAAGTCCTGCTTGCTCTCCAGGAGCAGGGCCCCATCTCTTGGGGGCGGGTACTCCTCATGTTGTGGTAACTTCTCCCAGACCTTCATCCCTGTCTCCACGGTCTCTGAAAGTTTTTAATAATCACCCAAACGTGGCGGGCGTTGTTTATTTATTTATTTCCTTTTTAAGAAAAAAGGCACCTCAGAGGCCCTTTAGTGCAGGCTCCTCCTTTATGTGTGAAGGAGCTGGCCTCCCACCGGGTGAGTGACTTGTCCAAGGCCACACATTAGTCCGAACGTGCAGCTCCCGAGTTCAGCATTCTTGTCACGGCAATGTGGCTGAATCTGTTCCCCTGGCGGTTTGTTTTTGAAATTTGAGGATATTAGTCTTTGCAGCAGGAATGTCAGCATTTGGGGGCCCAGAGGGCAGGCCGACTGATGTTGGTGGACTTTGCAGAAGACACACATAATGGCTGAGGTAAACATGGGAGCTTATAAGCACAAGCATGTGGCCTTTCCACAGGAATCAGTCCATAGGCTGAGCGCTTTCCAAAGGTGCTGCCATCACTCAGAAAGGCTTTTGAAACCTTTGAGAGAAAGTCCTTCAGAATACACTCTGGGGAGGCAAATCTTTGGCTTTTGAGGCAGCTTTGAGTTACAAAGAGTCCAAAGTCATTGAGAGGCAAGTCTAGTGAATTATGTAGTCACTCAAGCCAAAGAATAATAATAGTGCTAATGATCATAATGGCTAATATTGGAGAGTTTTGGTGGGGGGACTCATAAGCTGCCTCACTACTAAGAGAATGGTACTGAAGTAGGAAGCAGAACGGGTTTTATATGGTGATAGTGCTTTTAGTGTAGCAGAGAACTTCTCAAGGGGGCAATATATGTATGACTGTTTGCTTTCATCTTGCTACAGAATTACAGGTAACACTCCAATTTTTAAAAGTCAAGTCTTCTATGTGATGTTATTTGTCTGGACCATGGTACTGATGAGGTTAGGACATGAATGAGGTAGGTAATTAGTTAGCCCAGCTCGATTCCATGAAACAGACTGACGTCCTCCCTTAGAGCAGCCATTTGTCCTTCGTTACAAGGACAACGAGAGGAGTCAAGAGATCTTAGAAGGTGTTTTGTATTTTCTCATGGCTTCTCTCAGAATTCTTGAATTTGCCTCACTTCTTGACCAGTTCACTCCTCAGTTCCATTAATCTGCCTTTTATCATGTCACATCATCCCCAATTGGACCAAACCTGCTCCCTCAGATGTCATAGGTGACTTTCCATATTTCGTGGCCTTTTTCTTAGTCTTCATCTTTCTTAACCTCCTACATCTTCCAAACCTTCTTTACCAACCTCCAACTTCTGAGAGTTGCTATCCAGGAAGGTACTACTGCTCTACTAATCTGTTGCTGATCTGTTTCTGCCTCATGGACCAGACTTTCTTTGGTTCTTTTTCCTTCTAGATTTTAGATGTTTTCTTCTCCATATTCCCATGGCCTCCTTACTTTCTTTCTGTACAGATGACTAGCAACCATGTATTCCTTTTTTTTTTTAAAGATTTATTTATTTATTTGAGAGAGAGAGAGAGAGTATGAGAGAGTGTGCATGGTGGGGGAGGGGCAGGGAGAGGGACAGAGAGAATCTTGCTGCTGGCTCGATCCCATGACTCTGAGATCATGACCTGAGCCGAAGCCAAGAGTGGAACACTTAACTGACTGAGCCACCCAGGCACCCCTGGCAACCATGTATTTCTATTTTCCCCCCTTCTCACCAGTTCCAGCCCAACATTTCCATCTGCCAGATGGATACCTCCATGAGATAGATGTTCATCAGAACCTTAAAATCAATATATCAAGTGTCGATTTCTACTTAATTCCCTCTTTCCCACTTCTCTTCCTGTTGACCTGACCACCGTCTTCTTTTTTGCTCACACAGTTCCCTTCACCTGAATGTCCTCCCCCCAGTTCCCCGTGCCCCTCCCCAGACCAGACATGGCTGTCTCACAGGTTCTCCCAATGCCCTCTCCTTGGCTCTCCCACCAAACTCAGTCTCTTTCTTGCTGATTGCTATGTCCATGGCTTAGACTTCCAAACAGTCCTTAAGGCGTGTCTGAATCATCTTTGATACCCCAGTGCACCTAGCTGTCTGCCTTGCACATTCTACTCCATCAGTTTGGTTCAGTGAATTAATTAAATATGCCTAGCCTGTTAGCCCATAGCCGTTGCTGGTAATTGTGTCCATGGACAAGTGGCTTAACTTCTCTGCAACTTAGTTTCCTTTGATGTCAAGTGGGGATAATAACATCTATCTTGCAGAGTTTTTGAGAAGATTAAGTACAGAACTGTTAGTTTGTTTTGTAAATTGGAAGATCCTTAAAAACTGAAGTTTATTTTCAGAGACAGTCTCTGGGTTGTTGAAAGGCCATTAGGGACCCTCTGCTTTAACACTGAAGCTTTTTTTTTTTTTCCTCTGAGGATCTGAGTTTTTTGGTGATGTCTCAAATCAAACATCTTAAGAATTTTATTGCTGTTGAGTAGCTTTCAAAAATTTCTTCCTTTTTTTGACATTCAGAAAACATTTATTGAGCACCTTCTATGTATCAAATGATGTTATAGAAACAGAGATGCCAAGAAGAATTTGACCTAATTTCTAGCCTTGAGGGACTCTTAGTCTTGCCATGCAGACAGACATGTAAACAAATAATTATGAGATAATCTGCTAGGTACAACTACAGAGACATGTCCAGAGTGCAGAGGGAACACAGAGGTGGAAGTAATTAACTTCTGTGTGTGTGTCCAAGTATCAAGATAAATGATCTAATATTCACTTTGTAGCTCAGGGGAAAGTTGGCATGTCAGTAATTCTACAAATGGGGACAGAGAGGACACATGACTTGTCCAAGGTCACATACTGAATCACTGTCAGAATTGGGTCTAGAACTTGGGTTTTTTTGCTTCAAATCCTATTTCCACTCCCTTCGGGATGCTGTGAAGTAGGGGTGGAATTAGGTTGAGTCTTGAATGTTACTACAGAAGCAATAGTGATCTGGCCACCAATTTATAGGCTCTTGAATTGTAAGGGAGAGCCTGCCTTCTTTTGACATATATTGAACCTGAGGTCCTAAACACCAAGGTAGGATCTTGGCAGGGACCTTGGCAGGGAAACATGGGGAAATGAGCTCAAGTTCTGTCTCCATTAAATTCAGTTAGATTTTAGTAGGCTGTGTTGTGTCCATTAGTCTCAGTTTTCCTGCACTTATAAAATGATGAAAAAAATGAAGGAAAACTGAGGCTAACACATCATAAAGCCTCTTCCTTAGTGACATTCTAATTTAAGTTAAACCTTAAGTATGCAACTCACTGTACAATAAATTTTAAAACCCTGTTGTTGATTTTTGTGCTTTAAGCATGGGCATCATATAAATCAAGTGATGAATGATTTTTTTCTCTAGATTCTCAGAGCTAAATATCTGACTACACACTTGACATCTTCATGCAGATGCTCTGAAAGAACCTCAACCACAATGTAAACAAAAAATACAGATTTCCTTTTGGGGGGACAGCCCAGCTCCCATCCATGTACCCCAAATTTCAGTGAACTCTGGTTCTTAATTTCTCAAACTAAAAACTAGAACGAAGTGCTGTTGGGTTGGTCTTGTGAACATGTGTGAAATAGGTACAATTTGACTGTTTACAGCCATTATCCTGCTCTACATCAACTGCATTTTGTTTTTTAACCGAATTTACTATCCCAACCACTAAGAGGTCTTCTTAGCCCCAGTTTTGTCCATTTTTAACCCATTCCATAGCATACAGCCTGTATGAGCTTTTTAAAATGCAAATCTGATCATTTCACTGGTCTGCCTGAAATGGTAAAATAGATCCACATTTCGCTTAGATAAAATCCAAATCCCTTAATAGTTACATATTGTTATGGACTTGATGTTTGTGTCTCTCCCCCCCGCCCCCCAGATCCATACGTTGAAGCCCTAACCCCTACCCAAAAGTCTGTTAGTTCAACAGTAGCTGCCAATGAATTACTGGGTTTGTAACAATGGACATATGACTGAAATTCTCTGATTCCCAGTGGAAGAGAACCCTGAGTCTGATTTTCAAGTTGTTTGTCTTCTGTCTAGGAAAGTCAAGCTCCCCCTAAGCTCTTTGGCCAATGTACCATCTTACTTAGAAGATCAGAAAAACTGAGGAATATAATGACACTCAGAGGCCTCAAGATAACGTGGCCCTTTGAGCCATGGGGTAAATTTTGATTTTATTGCCCTTCTCTCTGGTTTTATAGAGAAACACAAATGGCTAGAATTGACTTAGATTCCTCCAGAGGATTGTTGCCTCATAAAAAGAAGAGAAAAAGGGAGAACAGTTCTTGGCATTGTTTTCTAAGGTATTTTTGTTGATCCTTCAGCTCGGGAATTACCTTTAATATGGTCATTACTGTGTCCAGTTTACAAAGCTTTATTCCCTTTGCCAGTGTACCCAGTTACTAAGGGAATTTTAGAAGATAGCGAAAATAAGAAAGATTAGAATTGAAGATGGAAAATATATGAAAGATAATAATAATTCGGAAACACTCTCATTTATTCAGTATTATCACTTTTTTTCATTGTGGAAAATACATTTATTTGAGTGCCTACTTTTGCAAAGCATGAAGCTATATACAACTTGCATGTGTGGAATTATTTATATTCCCATCTTGTTCCACAAAATTTCTGAGGTGGCTTATAAGAAAAACAATAAAACAGCATAATATAAATAAATTAAGAAATAAAAACCAGGAAAAACACAAATTAAAATAGAATGTCAAAACTAGGGGAAAAATAGAATACAAATATTCAAAC